AGACGAAAACTCCCCGAACTTCCGGCCGACTGGAATGGGTAAACTTCGTCCTTCGTATTTGGATTGTACATTCCCCGCGAATTTTAAATGAAATGAGATCAACTTCTCTGTGTAGCACGACAAAAGTGAACGGGGATCTTCTTATTATCGTACTACACTTATTACGATTTTATTCGGAATACGAAACAATTATTATGGAACTGAAGAACGTGATTAACTATCAAAGATCGCAAAATTTGCTTCTGAATGAAAGCTACAGCAGTACAAAGGACAATGCTTGAAGTCAAATTAAAGCAGGCAACAAATAAACTTATAGGTGTGGGTCACGGATGCACAAATCAAAGTCATATTCTTCTCGACCTTGGCTTAAACTGGAGCACATCTTCTTTCGAATAAAAGTAACAATAATCTTCTTGGAACGTAGATAAACAGCTAAATTTAGCATCTTTTCGAGATTCATGCGGGGGTGGGAGAATTGCAAAATGTTCGTCGCTTTAAAGTTAGGAAAGAGTAAGCTATTTTCTCCAGAAACCACCCACAAGTACTTCCCTGAGACATTAATAGTTGCTGGGTATGAAAATGCCGCAGACACTACTTCAGAAAGAATATTGACTTGACACAATTATGCATGTGTTTCTTGTCACCTGGACCTACCTTATGTCCCGAGGTGCATAAGTTATGGTTTGGTTGGAGGACATTTAGCTCAAAAATTAAAAATCGGACGTACGACTAAGATCATAGTTAATAATTTGTGTATTTATTTGGGAATATTAAAAAACACTAGTTAGAAATAGTTACGTTAAACATGCAGGTGATAGCGATTAGGCGTTCGGAGATAACACTTCGTAAGTGTATATAACAGTTAGGCCTACAAAGTATGTTATAAGAAAAAGTTGTCAGTTCGTTTCAAAATTAAAGTCTTATTGTGTCAGAATTAACTGAACTGGTGATATGAAAAGGGGACGGTATGAATTTTTCTGCAGCTCAAATTAGCTCAGGATCAGGCTACAGTGCGCACAGAAAATGGTCATAAAGGAATACAAATTTTGAATTCTAGATGTAAATGAAGAGGTGTCAGTTGAGAGTATAAGGCTGTAGTATAACACGAAGTTGACAAACGTCTTCTGGATAGGGCGTTTTTAGTTTTAGAAGCTGGGCTGATAATCATGGAAGTTCAACCATCTTCGGAGCACTGCTGTTCTTGGGACAGAGCAAAAGGTGCGTGAATTCGAAATGTACATACGTTAAGATGCCAAAAGTACTGACTGCTCGTTGGGCCACATAAAGCTACACTGAGCAACTCATGCATGCCTTGTCAGATGTTCTTTAAGCGATTTAAAATGGGCGGGGAATGGTTAATATCTCTTCGAATAACTTCATCTTCGAAAGTTCGCTAGGTAGATTGGGCTGCTATGAAAGCCACTCGGTGGAGGACATTGAATTCCAACTAAAAGAACCAGAAGGACACTAAGAAAAGGAGGACACTGTCGATCTAAGCGGGCCAAAGAATCGGTGACTACTCAACCCTTATACATAAATAGGAAATATTACAGCACATGCAATTTTACATCACTACTTTGCCAAATTATAAAGCGAGCACGCAAAGGAGTCAAAAAGTATGCCACAATTTGGGAATTTTGTCGGGATTCTGAGTGAATACAAGAATAACATGAATGGTCATACGGACGGGCATACAAACGAAACTCGGAAAATGGGAAGATATTAACCTTGAGCATTTGCAGCCTTAATTGATACAAATGTGCAAAGAATCAAATTTTTAAGAAGTTCTCGCGCTTTTATCTGTCATGAATGGTTAAATTTACCTTAACTTTATGCTTATTATATGCGCGCGAAAGTAAAAGTACACATAATATTATCTCTGTAACACAAGATGACGCTAAATAGCCGGCTGAAGAGAGGAATCTAATGTGTACCCTCTCCTTCTCAAGGCCATTACTTTCGTTAGGATTCTGGACAAAATATACTGTGTATTTCCAGTAAACTCCAAAGTTTGTTGGCTTTACACCGACGAGACTTCTGTCCCACAAATGAGTAATCAATCTGTGGGTCCTGATTCACCGAATGATACTATGCACATCTGGTCTCGAATCAAGCGTAATGGACCTTGTATTTCTCAGGCACTTCGTAAACAGAATACGCGATGGAACACTGAGGACTATCACTTAACTCAAGTCATTCAGTTACGCGCAGCTCGTGTCATCCTAGTAACGCTATTATTTAAAAAGCAAGAGATGCCCCGAACATATTATCAGATGTTAACTATATGTATATATGCTCTGATAGTAGGGTTTTGGCGGGAAGTTCAGTCAGAGGGCTGGTGACAAAAGTGTTGACCAAGTAGCAGTATTCATAAAGCCTAGAGAAATGTATAAAGTCCAAAGTTAAACGAAACCGAAAATGAGTTGTGTTTCTGTCAATACTAAGTGCACATGTCACCCTTTACGTCATGGGGAGGTTCTGTATTCATTTGACGCGAGTTGCTGTTAGTTCTTTTGGGTTTGTCATAAGCATAGTAATAAGTATTGGCGCTATGACTAAATTAACTGAATTTTCTTACATTTTATTTCGAAATTTGAATTTTATAGACCAATCGATTAAAAAAATACATCCAGTGTTGGTTCGTGGACAAGGGCGACGTGAAAATCAACGCAGCTGTTTTTTGCAGCGAAATACAAGGTCTAGGACATGTCTAAGCTTTTGGAAGGTACGCGCGCGGCTTATTTGCATGCTACTGTTAGTCCGTCGGGAGGGTGTAAATATCACACAGTTAATACGACGGTGGTAGTGGAATTCGGCTCAAATATTCATCCCACTGTCCGCCGCATTTCGGAATGACTTTTACTGGGATTTTACTCCGAGTCCGCATATTAGTATCCTATGACATCAAAAGATTACGGTATGACACTGCTCTATCAGGCATTTAGTATTGCCAGCTGATTCACATTCTTAACGGAGCAAAAATTTGCATTTAACCTGCTACACGGAGTTAAAGGTTCTAAGTATAGAGTCAGGGCAACCTCTTCAATTGTAAATGATCCAGCGCACCTAGCCTTTGCAGAAACTTCGACGCAAAAGAACATGCACATTAAAACGTGGGGGGGAGAGACCGGTGACGAACTCAAAACGAACGCTCATTTTCTTTTTTACCGGAAACTATCTATACGATGGAGCATATTTCGAAGGTAAGATAATATCTACTTGAACAGTGCGGAAGAAGTTCTACGCCCAAACAACGACTTTTACCATTTTATGCAGTGATAGGTTTTACTAATTTTTCGATAGAGGGGGGTTTACGTGACAAAAATGTTATAAAAGTAACGCAGCAAGTGTGATACATTTCAAAGTTCGGATTAAAACTAGAGCGGGATTTACTTATAAAGAGCGCAGAGTGGGGAGTTCGATCCAAGTCCATGCCTCACGCCTGGACTGTGGAAGTTACTGACTCAAACCCTGCCTTCTTGTCTTTTCAAAGGCCTTTGTTTTGAGACATCATACCCCGAAGGACTTTCAAACCATCCAAATCTACTCATTTGTGATAATTAACCCACTTGCCCCTTTAATAGTAACATTTATTATCAAATATACTTAACCTATTAAGTATTCTTTTACGCAATTTTTGTTAAACAGGTCATCTACCGTAAGCTTTTGCAAAAGCCACAGTACCAGCTGGGCGTCGGCTAAGTAGATCACAAAGGAACCGGATATATATATATGGGCGCAAATTTATAAGCAGATGTGCAGTTATTGAACAAGTCCTAAATGAAGTAGCCAGTTGCAGGGTGGTTAGTTTTTGGGCAACAAACCTTATTGCTAGTTGCCAAATTCGACTGACAAGGCATTATACTGTTCTCGGCTGATAGTTCTACATCAATTCGTATTTTATGCAAAAATAAGGGCACAATCGAAGTGTATATACATAAATTAAGTTTAAAACCGAAAGTATTCTACAGGAGGCTTGCTTATGTTTCTTCAGTAAAGTCAAATGATTTCTGTAGAGCTAAGCATCTATCCGAAATGCTATAAAATACGCACGCGGAACATCGAAGGACCACCTGACGGATCAAAACCCGCACGAATTTAGGTGAAAATACAAGCTCAGGTTCTTGTTGCAAAGAAGACTAATCCAAAAAGCTACCCCACCACTTGCATTCTGTAAAGTGGAGGGCGACCGCGTCGACATGTACGCACGTCACTGAATAATTTTCAAACGGTTCCTATCATAGAACCCTCTTCTTAAAGCCTCGCACATTGAAAGGGAATCAACGAAATAGTCCTCTGGGTATTTAGTCAGCAATATGTTAAGAATGCACGTGCATGCACTGTGGAAGAAGGCGCCCGAGAAATGAATACACCATGCGAGTGACGAGTTTCATACGAATAAATATAAACGCCGTCAGGGTAACAGCACGAGGAAGATTAGGATTTTCGTGTTTTCTAAATTTCTTCGATTAGGATACTGAACTGCACAATCGCAACACAAGGAGGATCGCCTTTGTTTTTTCTGTGTCTACTGGACACGCACATCCATCCCTTGCAAAAAAGTATTCACCCACGCTGAACACTTCATTCTGATGCGTGAGTTGCAACATGATAATCCCAAACAGTTCACTAGCACACGATCCATTTTAACTAGGTTTGTTCAAAAACGCAATGGTAAACAAAGTGCTATGAAAATACTTGAATGTAACAATAGTGACATTGCTATCCTATGTGTCCGTCTACAAACCGAGCATACCCTCGTCTCGCACGATAAGTGGGCAGTTTAGTTTGCTTTGATCCGATTGAAGCTGTTCATTTCGCTGGAGTAAATAGTAATGATAAGAACACATCCAGGTAACATAATGCTTTAAAAAAATCCGATAAAGCTGGAGGTTTACCTCTACCGCCGTTAGCAGGAAAGTATCTTTGAAAGTAATAAGGCACAATCTACAGGATATCTTTATGCCTGAGTGTTAAGACAAATAAAGGGCGAATCAGGGTTACGGAATGGAAGCATGATATGGGACACTCACCGTCAGGGGGTCGTAGGCGGCAGCTTGTTTGGCAAAATGGAGAAAAGAAGGCTTTGTGAGGGTCCTGCTCTTGGCATCCCTCCTGCTCGGTCTACCTGAGGAGGAAGTGGTGCACAACGAGACGGACGGAGACTGTGGGAGAGGGGAGGGCGGGCTTCGGGGTCTTTTGGCACGTCTTTTGCTGGCAGATGGGCTTCGCTTCGACCTTTCCTCCATAGAAGGGGGTCCGGGGCGGGCGGCGGCAGCACCCTTCTTCTCAAGTGTTTTAAAGGGCTTACGCTCTTCCGTAGTTGGTGTAATATCCTTGTCCGAGAGCGTACTCGCTCTGGAGGAGGATTGAGATGAAACAGTTGGAAGGCCATGCGTGGAGGACTGATTCGCCTGCCTGGCCGGCCGCTCACTGTTCAGGGGTTTCTGTCCGGAGACCTGACGGGCAGGGGAGGAGCGAGTCGAGGCGTCAGGGGAGGAGGACCTGCCCGAGCTCTTACCCTCCCGCAGTTTGCTTGAATTTCGCGAAAATGATAGGGTCCTCCACCGACGGGGTCTAAGGAAATCAAAACGACTGCGTTTCAGCGGCGTTGCCGCGTCGCTCACGGTGCCATCCACCTCGTGAGCATTATCCATGGTGTTGGCCTTCTTTTGCGAACTGACGCCATCACGCCAGGGGCTAGGTGAAGGGGACTCCGAAGCATTGCGGGGCAATGTGAGAGAACGTTGTTGACCCTCCGGCGGACCTCGGTCCCCGGAAAATCTAGTCAGCCAACGCCACATGTTTAACTAAACTTGACTGGGGTCATACAGCACAAACGCGTGCCACATCGAATGAAGGCTCCGGATCAGAGTTGTTAAAGAAGCGAAGGTAACTTAGTTAGGCAATGAATAAACGGGATCTTTGGTGTTTTTTTTAATGTATACCTAAGAAGTCAAAAAATAAAGCAGCAGAGTAAGTAATCTTACAATTTTTTGTCTTTTGGGAGTTTTTAGTTGCAAAGCAAGTGTATCAGTTGCCTTAGGTAAACGAAATTCCAGAAAGAACAACCCGTCCAGACGGCAGGTGAATGGTGAGTGCTGTCACCCGAGGGAAGTTCACTACTACTCGTGCAAGCAGAGGTAGTTTGTATTTGTATTTCAGCTGGGCCTAAACTGATCTCTGTTCAGGGGGGATCAAAGTTGCCTCAGTATTGTGTGTGTGTGCGTGCGTGCATGTGCTCGAGCAAGTAACTCTGTAGTGGTTGAAAGGGGGTTGCTAGGTCGTGTTGGACCGGACTGGGGGTGGGGTAGGCTCGTAGAAGGGAGGCAGGCGATGGGCTAGCTGCACAGTGGCCAAGTTTTGCAATCGATGGGCGGGAACATGCGGGATGGCACAGGCTTCCTCCTTTTATCTCCTACGCCTCTTCGCCGACCGACCGCTTCTCCCTGGGCTTGTGCTCTCGGTAGATAACGCGCCAGCCGTGGCGGCGGTGGAACAAACAACTGCTCCCCTGCAATGTGATTGGCTTCGGAGGCCTGATTGTCAGGCGCTCATTGGTTGGCACTACAAGTGGGCTTGAGTTGGACTTACGGACCGTACGCTTTTCCACCCACCCTGTGGGCACACAAACGCACGCACGTAAGTGGCAGGACTTGGCTATCAAGTCTGACAGCATCGATCCCCCTGACGTTCTTGCAGAAACTGATTGGTAGCTGAAACACGTGGCTACTGAAAGAAAGCACGTGTAGGCAAACTCTCTCGGTGACGGCACGCTTGTATTACATGTTTTGGTAGTGTTTTCGAAAACAGGAGGCGTTAGACTTCGCAACAAAGGGAGTTATTTGCACTACCTGGGAGAGCAGGGTCCTGGTGTATGGGCAGGGAATATCGTTAAGGGAAGTTTTAACCACAGCACGAGGACGAAGGAACCAAAGCTGAAACAGATTCACTAGCTATGGCTGTGTAACTGCCAGAATCCAGAACCTACTACCAAAAAACCATCAACTTGACAAAATCTTAGAGCCGTTGTAAGCAATGTGGTAAACTAGAATTTTCAATCTACTTCTCATTTGCAGTTTACCGCCCGATCTTACTCTATGGACACTGAGGACCGACAAGAACTCCTACGAAAGTCTCTTCTCTTATCTGACCCGGTAGTCATTACAGCAAATAAATGCGACCTCCATTACGACGATCCTGCCTGATTAAGGTCCGCGCATCAGCTTTGTTTTCGTTCCGAATCACTTCTAACTGGGGCGAATAGGAAGGAGCAGGTCCTCCTAAATATCGTTAATTAAGGTATTTTAACGCTAGAGATTTCTCAGACTACACTCAAATTATGTCAAGAGAAGTCCCCGCATTCTTCTTTGTACATATGCCATTGTTCATATTTTTGGAAGCATCCAACATAAGTGACCCTAAATGACCAGTTAAGGGGATGGGTTTAAGTGTCCTTTGCCAGGTTAACACTCGGATATAGGCTATAGGAATTGATGATGAGTGTCGCATTGCTAGTGACTATCACCGATGTTACTACTACTACTACTACTACTACTACTACTACTACTACTACTACTACTACTACTACTACTACTACTACTACTACTACTACTACTACTACTACTACTACTGCCATTACTACTACTACTACTACTACTACTACCAGGATTATTACTACTCCTACTATTGACATTGTCATACCTGTGACTAACATTGATGCTCTCCCTATCACCCTTATCACTATCAATACTAATAGGGGCAATACGAGCATAGTCTATACTTCATGAAATACAGTCAATGCAGGGTCTTTAAACGTTCTTTCAAAACTGAAGAAAACGTACAGAAAGCAATAGTTAGCCCTCAACAGATGCAATAAGTAGTTAAAAAACGAAGGTTGGATCAAGGTCACCCGGCATTTGATAGGCGAGGTTGGTTGAGCATGCACTTGAGTTCCAATCACATGCGCTGTGCCCAAGAGGCATGTGCCCGCTGTATGGTTGCTTGCTACGCCCAGCCACATCCATTTCGATAAAGTAAGAAGCGAAATCGGTAAAAGCATTTTGAAGCTTTTGTTCCATCTGGCTCACGGAAAAACTGGCGAATAGTCCTTCGCAAGTAGGCTCAATATCCTTCGAAGCATCGTCAGATGTATTACTTTTCTTAGAGATTTATAGACTGTTGTTTGCAGTTGATATGCCACCTCCTGAAATGTTGACTGAAATTCCAAAATGCGTTTTCAATCCCAGAAGATTAATAATCGTGTCGCAAAATGTTAAGGTATTCCAATTACGTCACAATGCTAGCTTTTAAATGAGCTGCTTGTCGACCGCCCATACAAATTTTATGCCGTAAAGGTGACCGCTCAAGTAACATGAATTTTTGCCATCGATTTTCAATGCTCTTTTAAATTTAAATATATATTATAGAAAACACGCGCAAAATGTTCTATATTTACTCCTTTGGTAGGAAATTATCTTTTCTCCAAATTTTCTACTTGAAGAAAAAGTGCCATTCCAATCTCGATAAATTATGCTGTGTTGGAATGTTTTAAATTTATATCAGGAAAATGTTGTTTCAAACATCCACAGTCGTTTTTGCATCCTCCTGTCATTGAAACGTGACTGATGTAATGAGAGAGAGAAGGCCAGGTCGATTGTGTGTAAACCATCCCTCCTCCCATCCTATTCGAAGCAAGCACTAGTCCTCGTTACTTCCTCCGTTTAGTGTTGGTTCTTGACGAGAACGACGGAAAAACTATCGCGTGCGTGGATCAATACGTGCACGGAAGACGCCGACGAAATGCTGAAAGAGCTAAGAGCTGTGATCCTGCATACCCGTCCAATTGGCTCTATACGAGGAACTTACACACTAACAGTTTTTTCATGACCGTGCATCTACGCAGTACAGAAGCGCGGACTGAACGACACAACTACAAAAGTCTTGAAAGTTAGAAATAGTAGTGTTCGAATTTGAATGTATTAATTCGATCATCACGTTTGTGAGGCTTTCAGCTTCATTAGCAGCCTCTTGGGAAACTCTTCCTAAACACGGTCTTGGAGGTTTCATGACTAATAATTGTGCTAACGACATAAGCTTTATATCAGGGCTGTGTTCTCTCTTAAAAATTTTAAGCCAAACGTCTCTTCTTAAAAAGAAGACAAAGGTGGGTTTATAAATTAATATTTAATAACATAAAAATAAATAATTTTCACTGAACACTAGAATTTCAGAAAATGGCTTTATTACAAATTGTTTAAAGAGGACTAAGTATAAGGTCATAAGAAAGGGGGGGGGCGTGAAATGGGAAACATGATGGAAAATAATAACAAGTACAAAAGACCAGTACGGTGTTGATTGTCCTTTGCGTTTATCACAACAGGAAATCTTTCAGACATGCAGATGGCAGGTTGTCTATAGTGGATTGTTCAACCAGTCACAAAGTCAATCTTTTCTTGCACTGAAAGTTTCTTATTCGCCTTGTGCTAACGTTTTTTGATAAGTGCGAAACGATTTTCAATGGGATAGAGATCCGGGCTTTTCGCAGGCCACATGCAGAGTGGCTGGATGTTGTGTAAAAAGTCAGATTACGGTCCAAAGCATTGGTAGTTTCATACTTCTTTAGAGCGAGGGACAGGAGCATTGTCGTGTAAAATTATGATGACCACTTGGTGCCGGTGGATGTCGTAATCGAGAACATCCTTCACAATATAAAAGAACACCTTGCTGTTGATAGTGTCGATAGCCGACTGCCAGACTGGCCGCTGTCCGAATTTACTAGCCATCTAAACCATTAACCGCCGACAGTTCTTGAAGACTGCCGTTGGCGCAATGTGCTCTCTTGGGAAGTTCTTTCCGCACATGACCATCCGGGTCGACTGCGCAGGCTCGTCTAGAAGAAAGACCCCATCGCAGAAGGAAATGCTCTTCCTGAGCGCGGACCGATAACCAATACACTTCCTAGCAGACAAAAAACGTTCCCTAATAAGTTTTCTCATTAAAAGCAGCTTGATCAAGGCCTTCCACTGATTGAATTCAAACTCATGCATCCTTTTCCTAGTTATGTTCATGGAAAACATAGGCAGATGTTTCTTGTGAGTGGTCTTAATGAGCATATAGTGATACTTTTTGAGTGTCCGACGGATAAAATCGTCGTCTTGTCTACTTGTGGTCCACCCTGCTTATTTCTGGGTGCGGTTCTATTATAATTTATTCGCCACAGGGTACCTTAATAATATTAAAAATACTTGCTAATGACTCACGCGACAACCCTTCCGCTGCTAATTTCCGTATCCTTTCATAGTCGACTGCTGAAAGACATTGTCTGGACATCAATCTCGCACGGCGCGACACAGAAGAGTGACAGCATGTCGCGCGTATTCAGAATATATCCGTTCACGCCTAGTAGCTACTGCCGAGGAAGATTATTGCCAAGTTTTATGGCGCGAAACGTCACAAATGTTCACTAAGAGTTTTATGAGCTGAATCACCCCTTTTTTCTTGAAAACAACGCAATTTCTCATGCCCACCCTCACGTGATTTTCATGGAAGTCAAATCGAATTTTCAGTTCCCAGACGGGATTTATTTCGTACTTTTCTTGTTTCAATTAATCTTTGCTTACAACACAAGACACATAAACATGATGTTTTGATCCGCACATTTCAATAGCGTGGGAGATTATCTGGATATTAAGAAAGGTCGAATTTCGCCTAAATATGTCCTGTTTTCCTTTAATAAAACCAACTTGAAATGAACGCGTCTTCAGAAAACTGTTTTCTGCGCCTCAAATCGCTCCAATAATCACAAATAACTACACCCAGTGTACGACATGCTCCTCACTTAAATTTCTACCACGACATTTTATGAACTAGGCCATCTAGGTTGCCATAATAGTAGCATAAAACAGCATGCATTTCGTTTTCCTGCCGGTATCTAGCTCAACAAAATTGCACGGTGGTGCTAGAGGTGTGTTGTTTGACCGTTACGAGTGATGGGATCTGCCGATGTTTCACTGGGCGGCGCAGCCGCGATTTAAGCAGGAATTCATTACACTGAGGCTGACATGTCATTCTCCCTTCTCGCGCTTATGCCTCCCGATAGCAAGAAAACGTAATGATCGCCGGAGGTGGGCGAGAACACACTGGCTGATCAAAGTACGGCAAGGATAAATTGTGTAACCCCCTGGAGCTAACATGTGTGACTACCTACTATATTTGTTTCAGTAGACCTCGTTTAGTTTATTAATTCGTAGTTACAGGAAGTCTCCGCATGCACCCATGTCGGTACTCATCATACAACGCCTGTTGCAGGAATCCTCGGCTGCGTGCTGGCTTACGTTGTCTCGGTAAGGACACATGCGTGGGCCTTTCTGAACATCTAACGGTTTCTGTTGTCGAACGTGTTCGTTGTCAATTGCTAACGTTTTCGCAAAACCTGCAGTGCGTGGCCGATCTCAAGAAAGGTCAGCCGAAATTCTGAAATGCTTTTTCGACTAGGAAGAATTAATAAGGTGGCATTTTAAGAGTAATTATTATGTAGCATAGTCCTGTAGTATTTCAGACTCGCCATGATGTCCGATTTGGAATGCACTTCTTTTTTTACTTCTCACAGAAACCGCATTTGGCGAAAAATGGCTACTTAAGTAGCATGCAGTTTTGCACATTGATTTTGGGTGGTCTAATAAATTCAACCATATTTTATAGAAAACATATATAAACATACGCTTTATTTACTCGTTTGGTAGAAAACCACATTAACTATATTTTGTGCCCTATGGAAGGTTATCTTTTGGTTTCAAAAAAGTTTCTAATTATGAGGTATTCAAGCTTGTGCGATAACCACATATACAGAATTACACGTTTCCGTTTACCAATGTTCCTTGTGAAGTCAACAACACAGCCCGTATCCGTTGCAAAAATTCATGCCATATATAGAGGAATATATGATTTTCTTTATGAGGAGCGCATCCAACTTGTATGCTGAAATCACTAAACGCTAATGCAACGGCTGATCCGGCTCAAAATTATTCGGGAATCGGGAAACTTTTCAAAACCTAAATATACACTTTTCCGGGTATAAAATGTGAAGACAATGTGGTTTTCTACCAAACGGGTAAAAGGAAGCACATTTTTGTATGTTTTCCATAAAATATATTTGAATTTATTAGACCATCCAAAATCAATGTGCAAAACTGCATACTACTTGAGAAGCCATTTTTTGCCAAATGCGGTTTTTGCGAGAAGTAAAAAGAAGTGCATTCGGAATCGGTCATCATAGCGAGTCCGAAACACTACAGAATCATGCTATATAATAATTAATCTTACAACGCCATCTTAGTAATCCTTCCAAATCGAAGACGCATTTCAGAATTTCAGCCAATATTTCCTGAGATCAGTCACGCACTGTAGCTTAATATTCTCCTCTTATTTTGGTGCTTGCCCTACAAAACGTGCCGGAAGGATCCTCGACTGCGTGTGGTTTTACTTTGCTTCGGTTGGAACGCAAAAAGCACGGTTTCTGTTGTCGAAATTGTACACCTTGAATTATATACTTCTTTAAGGATACTTGAGCGCACTCTCTCACATAGCCAGTGATAAAGCACTTAAATTTATTTGAATTTATCTGCAAAAATGTACTTACAAGTGGTTGTTAAATTGCCTTCGGAAGGGAGAAATTGAAGTTTCCGGTCTAGG